TAGAAGCTGGAGCATCTTGTAATTCCAGCCCGGAATTGCCCAATCTTGGCTTCCAGGCAAAGCTGATAAAATGCCAGCTGCAGCTGCTTCAGGTGGGGTGTCACAAATGCATGGCACAGTGGGCCCGGTGATCTCACAGTGCACCCTGGGGTCAGGGAGGAGACAAGAGATGCGGGTCAGCCTCGCTGCAGTCATGGCTAAAGGACAACTGGAAGGGCCGTGTTAGGCAAACATTTGTCCACATGTTCTTGTCCCTTCCTGGACTCTGCCTGAGCGACTTGAGGAGATGACTATTCCAGTGTCTGCTTTGACATTAAAGAGCTTTGGGTCTTGGGTGACTTTATATTCTCTGGAACAGAACCAGGTCTCAAAAGACTGATATTGCCTTGTTAGATTTGGACCTTATCATTAGGTTAACTGGGGGGGCAGGGGTAGAATTAAAGCGTCTAAAAGCACATTGTGGGAGCAGCGTGGTCTTTGGAGCTGGGCAAACCTGGGCTTGAATCCTGGCATGAACTCAGTAGCCTGTGGTGGCAGCCTGGTCCCCTAACCTTCTCCCTGAAATGAGAAAGAGGCTCACTTGATCTGGTTCACAGGATTGATGTGCAGATTAAAAGGAATGGCCAATGCAAACACCGGAGCACTCTGGAGGTCCTCAGAACAAGTCATTTCCCTGCCCTTCCAGGGCTCAGGTGTCTCTCTTGGAATCAGACACGGTGACAGGCGATGATGGCCTCTGAGAATGTGGATGCCTGAGACAGGTCTAGGACCATGATCTGTCATGGACTGCAAGCACAAACTTGGTGCTTAAGGTTGTGACCTGGGCTACGGAACGTCCTCACCTATCACAGCAGCATGTATGGACGCCTGCCTGTGTGGCAGTCACTGTGACCACAGTCTGTCCCCACAGCAACCCTAAGAGGTAGATCCTATTATTATCTCTGTGTAAAGACAAGGAGGGGAAGCTCTGAGAGGCTGTATAACCTGCTCAAGCAAGCTCCTTTAGGGAAGTGGTGGAAGCAAAGTTTGAAGCTGGGTACATCTGATTCCAGAACCCACTCTCTAATGTGACCTGCAGACCACCTCCTGAATAACAGCACAATATCCATAGCAGGACAACAACTAGGATCAGCAAGTCCCCATGTGCATGCCAGGGAAGAGGCAAGGTGCACCCTCCCCAAATCTCTGGCCTTCGTCTTTGCTGGATGTCGGTGAGCCTCTTGTGCCTGTCAGAGACCAGCGACGTGTTTTGTCTGATCACCTAGTGTTGTCTGCCTCAACTGCATGTCAGAAGAGATTCTGAGACCAGCTCTTGGCTTGGCAGGAAGGAGCCTTGTCAATGGCTGTGTCTGTCATGACAGCTGGGGGTGGGGTGCAGAGCATGTAGGTTGTGCCAGAGTCTGCCACCCTGCGCCAGGTGACCTGCCTATGCTTGTACAGCTTAGCAGGGTTTCTACAGGCACCATTCAGCAGTAAGTGAAGAGATCAGGAGGCTTCAGCCAGACCTTTCCCAACCTCTGTAAAGGAAAGCCTGCAGCAAAGACACCGAGGGGTGGCAGGCCAAGGCAACTGCAGTGTCTGAGCTACAGCAACGTGAGGACTGTGGTCAGACCCCAGCTTTACTGTTGTCTCCATGCAGTGGGGATGATTTGTCCTGTCCACACAGAAAAGCTCGAGGTGGACTCAGGGCTCTCCTGGTTATTCTTGGGTAACAGTCCTGCAGCCACTTGCGTCCAAATCCAGTTGCAATTTACCTGTCAGAATATCCAAAGCCTTGTCACACTGCAGAGGCTGCATCTGCTCAGCGTTCAGTCCTCGCCCCAGCCTGGGTCCAGTTAGCAACATGGTCCTGCTCTCAGCTCCGGCTCTGCTTGCCTGCCCCCCACAGGGGTCAAGGTGAGCTGGCCCACACACCCACTTACTATGCTCTGAGCCCCATGGACCTCTGAGGCTGGTGGTGTTTTCAGGGGCTCCTGTGGGGCTCCCTGCTGGGCTCCTTTCTCCACAGTCCCGGGCCCAGGTGAGGCTACCTGTACACTGAGGCAATGTCTGCAGTTTCTCAGCCCTTGGGTATCTGGTGGTACACCCCAGCCTCTTTCTTCTGAGGTCTCTTTGCTGCCTCCAGGAAGCCCCATGGGATAGACTGCCCCTGAGCATCTCGCTCCCTGTGCAGCCAGACTGGGTCCAAGGACAAAACTGGGGCTTCAGGACAGTCCCTCCCCAGCAGCATTGCTCCAGAACCAAGGTGATCAGTTACCACCCTCCAGGCTTTCCAGGTGTGAGTCAGACCCCAGTCTTCAGCTTCTCAGGAACCCCAGCAAAGCTCTCTACACTAGACCTGACACTTCCCAAAGTGGTCAGTAGACGATCTGCACTGGAATCATTTGGAAGAAGCTGTGCTGTTAAAAGTGCTTAGATCTGGCTTCCCTCCTTCCCTACCAGCCCACCTCAATTTACTGGATCAGGACCTGAAAAGCTAAGCATAGAAATTGGTACTGCAGTTACTAGATAAAATACCACAAGTTACATTTGAATTTCAGATAAACAAACTTTTAAAAAGAAGCTGTGCTGTTAAAAGTGCTTAGATCTGGCTTCCCTCCTTCCCTACCAGCCCACCTCAATCTACTGGATCAGGACCTGAAAAGCTAAGCATAGAAATTGGTACTGCAGTTACCAGATAAAATACCACAAGTTACGTTTGAATTTCAGATAAACAAACTTTTAAAAAGTATAAGTATATCCCAAACATTACATGGAGTATACGTATACTAAAAATATTTGTTATCTAAAATTCAAATTTAAGATTCTGTATTTTTGCTAAATCTGGCAACCCTAACCTGCACTGAACGAGTTTCCCCAACTGCACACCAAATCAGTGCTATGGTCTGAATGTGACCCCAAAATTCATGAGTTGGAAGCAGTCCCCTATGCAACAGTGTTGGTTGGTGGAGCCTTTTGGGTGGTGTTTAGGTTACAAGGGCTGTGCATAGATTAATGCTGCCATAAGAAGCGCTTGCAGGATTGGGTTCACTCTCCTGCTCTTCTGCCCAGTAGGACACACATCCCTCCAAGCCAGAGAACACAGCAGTGAGGCACCATCTTGGAACCAGGGCCCAAGCCTGCCAGCGCCTTGATCTTGGACTTCCCAGCCTCCAGAACTGTCAGAGAATACATTTCTGTTCTTTATAATTACAGTTTGTGGGATTCTGTTATAGCAACACACATGGACTAAGACAGTCGAAGAACCGCTGGCCAAGACTTTGGTACAGTCACTGAGGCAATGCCCCCTGGGGGTCTCAAGCTCAGCCAGGCAGTGTCGCTGAGCAGACTATCTATAACATCATCTGCCTTCTTTCCTCTGTGAATTTCTGCAGATTCCTTCTAGCACTGAAATTGCTCTCCCCACAGTCTGCGAGGCTGGGCGTGGTGGCTCTGTCCCTTCCTATCTGTTCCACCGTGAGTTGGAGCACGCTGCAATACACCGTTAATGTGAAGAGGATTTGCGAAGCAACGCTGAACAGTGGATAGAGATTTCACAGGAAATAGCAGCCCAAGTCATGTTCACAGGAGGGATATAGATGGCACAGGGTGGTCTTCAGAAGAAAATAGATGTTTCTGGAGGTGAGCTGTGATTTGGTTCAGATACTTCTGCAGAAAATGAGCAGTGATCTGCAGTGGGTATGCCGGCCCTCCCTACCTGCCCACCCGTGAGGTCAGCTCTTGTTCTCTGTTCCCTGATCAGACCAGAGCCTGGCTCCTCCCCTCCACCCTCACACCCAGAACCAACAGAAACTGAGCCGAGGAGAAAGGCATCATCGTTCAGCAGCAGATGGGGAGGAAGTCCGGGGAAGGGGAGACTGAGTCCAAATCAGACGCAGCAGGAAAGGCAGGGAGCTTCCCTGAGGTCACCCTGACAACCAAGGACCAGGGCCAGGTGGCCAAGTGTGCTTTGGGACCCCCACCCACCTGCCAGGAGGGAAAGGCTAAGTCCTTCCTCAAGGCCAGGAATTCTGTCTCCCAGGAGACAAGCAGGTGGGAAAGTGCCATCCCGTGCCACTCAGCAGGCCTGGCTCAGCCCTCGGAGGGGACACTGGGTGGGAAGGAGCGGATGGCCTGGAACTGCTGCTCCCTGAAAAGCAGCTGGAGCCCCCGCCATGTGTGGGGACAAGGGCCCTCCCCGCCGTGCGTGTTGTTTGGGTGTCGCATGAGCACAGCGTCCTTTGCTGCAGGCAAGAAGGCCGAGTGAGTGGGCGGCAGCTGAATCCACTTCCAACCCCAGCCTGGCCAGTGGCCGCGCCGGCAGAGCCG